CACGCCTACCTAAAACGGCTCGTTCTAACACGCCCCCACATATCTACGTCACGATGTGGGAAGATTTGCATATTATTATTATTATTAATAATTTGCATTTTTGTCTCGTTTACAAATTATAAGCTCTGATTATGACAAGTGTGGTATAAAAGCTTTTGTTTATTAGAGGAATAATTGGTTATCTGGAAAATGTTACATCGCGACCATGCTTTTGGATGCCGTTCGTGCCCATAGCCTACATTTACGCGGCTTTGTTCTGGTTTGCCGGTTGGTCATGAATTTCCACAAATTCAATAATATTTAGGCATTGTTTCTTTTCCTAAATCCTCACCATCTGACCCTCTAATTTGGCAGGTTTATTTTACTGTCATTCACTCTTTATCACTGTTTTCGCATCTCTTACTGTGGTAAACATGCGGGAAGGGAAATGAAAGATTTCATGGCCATGAATTAAGAATTCGTTCGATTTATTAATTTGTTCCCTTTTTTTAGTTAAATCATGGGTTATTTAAGGAACAAAATTTATGAAACATGGACAGTGGCCACAAATTAATAAGTCGTAGGAACGAATTAACAAGTTGTAGGAATGAATACCTGTGTTCCAATCCACAGCCCTGCAAAGCTCACGAGCCGCACACAGCCCAAAATTAAATATGAGCATGTTTGGGATGCTCTGGATGGGCGTATACGACAGCGTGTTCCAGTTCCTGCCAATATCCAGCAACTTCGCACAGCCATTGAAGAGGAGTGGACCAACATTCCACAGGCCACAATCAACAACCTGATCAACTCTATGCGAAGGAGATGTGTTGCACTGCGTGAGGCAAATGGTGGTCACACCAGATACTGACTGGTTTTCAGGAATTTGGAATTCGAACCCACGCGTGCAGAGCACAATGGATTAGCAGTCCATCGCCTTGGCCACCTTGTCCTGTTCCCAGCTGCTGTCATTAACATGATGGAGATCAGGTTCAGCATAATGTGTTGTAAATGATTGCGAGACGTAACGCTTTGACAGAGCTGCAAGGAGCATTGGTTTCTCTGGTTTAGGGGACTTGCGGTGATGTTGGAAAAGGGAGTAGGAGTGCTTATCGGCTCATCGAATCGATCCCGACCTCAACCATGTTCTCAGAGACTGAGCTGTATGACTCCACCACTTTCTTGCAAGGATAGCCATAATTCTGTCTCCCCAGGGTTCAAGAAAGCAATGCACACTCTTCTTTGAGCAAAGACTGAACAATGAATTGGGTTTCCCAATTGGGCTCTGGCTCCGGCCCCTGTGGAAAAGGGGTATCTGTGATTCTGGTGCAAGAGACAGGGGGCTCGTTGTGTCGACCCAGAGGCAAACCACATTCTCAGACGTGAAGATGAGATTCTGCAGCCATCATTAAAATGCAGTGAAGGTCACCGTAATGTGTCGGGTTAATGCGGGCAGCCTTTGGCAGACCTGTCTGGTCCGCTGAGCTCTCTGTGACACTAAAGTCATCAAACAATGAGGATGGGATCTGAACCCATGCATGCAAAACACAATGAATTAGAAGTCCATCACCTTAACCATGCACTCAGCCACTTCATCACACTGAATGCCTCCTTTATTTAACTTACTATTAAACCTGATTTAGCTTATAGCTCACACTCAACTGAGTGTGTCAGATAAGGAAAATACACAAAAGGTAATAATAATCAATAGTAATAATCAAGGAACTTTGCTGCCGTACCATGCTAACGGTCTAATCAGATTCAATGATCTATGCTAAGCTAAGCTAAAAGTGCTACCGCCAGACCCGGAGATCGGCTGAATGGATTCGAAAACGGTAAAACTCAACTGTTTAACTCTAGGGGAGTTGGAAAATGAGCCTATTTTCAAAAATAGTGGAATGTTCCTTTAATATAAAAAATGCATTTTAAAAACAAAGTTGTTTAAAATGAGAAAATATTTGATGACAACTCAGAGACAATTTGACATCTGTTTAAAATAGTCAAACAAGAATTAGTATGTCTTATAAAAATATATAGGGTTCAACTCCGGGTTAAAATGCGCATTTAATTTTATTCTCCTCTAAACCACTAGATGGCACAAAAGCCCAACGAAGCTTAGACTCCCGCGTTTGAGTAGGCTACATAATGCAAATTTGCATGATCCTGATATAATTCTTTTTCTTTAAGTTGAACATCACGGGCAGCAACACAAAATTGATATTTCGGTCATTTTATCTAATATTTCATATTTAAAAAAATATAGATTTATGCAGCAAATGAGAAACAATACATTTATTGAATATATTTTGAAACAAAGGTCTTGTTAATCTTTTTAATTTTCGTTCAGGTTAAGTAAATAAATACAAGAGTAATATTTAAAAATATGGTATTTGTGGGTAACCCCCTAATTTTGAAGCTTAAAATAAATGTATTAGGTTGAAATAATGTATTAAACGAAAATCCATTTTTATTTATGATTAAAAAAAAGTTGTAAACTTTGCTAAAGTGATTGCTTTGAGCAAGTATTAACTTGTATGCTATGCAAAACATATTACTTTAGCTAAATTGTATCACTTCTGGGTGATACAATTTTTTAAAACCAACCACTTTAATGATTTATTTGCCCACAAAATGTGCTGCTCCATCATTGTTTAATAAAAAACACATATATGTTTTCTGTAGTCGTGTAATGAAAAGCACATTTTTCTTAAGGTGTGCCTTTAGCTCCGTTGTACCCTATATCTGTTTGTCATGTGTTGCATCAATAGATCACATCTTGCAGATCTATCAAAATACATTTAAAATCATTTGTAGGCCTATGTCTCGGTTGAGGTTGTTTAATGTCCAGGCCATTATTCATGTATTTATGAAGCCTAAATTTATAGTACATTATATGCCTGGAGTTATAAGACTGTGTATTATAAATACGCTATGCTAATAAATGTATTAACTTTTGAGGATTAATTTTGACCTTGAAATCTGCAGCTTTATCAGTCGTGTTCATGTTGTTATTATGAGTGTCAATGTATGTTGAGAACACTAGACAATATCTGAATCAAAGAAAATAATTTGAAACAGCTTTTTAAATATTTCTTCACTATAAATATCACAGTTATTTTAATGATCAATACAGGGGCTCCAAAAGTATAGAAACGTAAACATGAATGCCATTACATTAGATATGCCATATCAAACCATGGCATCTGACAAAAAGGTTAGAGCTTTTCTCTGAACTAACTTCTGTTTTTGCAATGAATTTTAATCAGTTGCGCTCATGGTGTATATGTTCCTATTTATTGAAGTCAGTTTCTCTCCTCGCCAAATAACCACAGGTTACATGTCCTCTAGAAAGTGATGCATTGTCTTCATTTTGAACAGTATATCCACTGTTTTATCATTTCTGTTAAATGTTTTACTGGATTTGTTTTATGAAAAGTGTGCCTCTCACAGTTTGATATTTTGAAATGCAGCAGCTTTATTTTGCAGTATTTGTGGCCATATTACATAAAAAAAGGTACAAAAGCTGCCTCTGCATGGGGCGGTACCCATTCAAAAGTTACACTTTTGTACATTATTTAAACTTAAAAGGTGGTGCCTTAGGCAACTTTTTGAGCAATGATGCAGGGCAACTTTGGTTAATGTTGCCATCAACGGGCAACCAGGTGAAACACAGGGCCCACGACTGATCTAAAATATCCAGATAGAAATATGTTATCCATTCTCAATGGGAAAGTGCCCATAAGTAACATTGCTCAAAAAGTTGCCCAGTGCATCATCAGCCTTAAAGGTACATCTTAGCACCTAAATGCTGATATCAGTACCCACCCCAGTGACAGCTTTCGCTCTGTCCAGTAGGTGGAAACTAAATACTGTGCAAACGTTTCTGTACTTTAACCTGATACGTGCATGTATCAGTTCTCAGAAATGACCACTACTTGATACACAAGACACTTATATCATACCTAATCAGATCATTTCAGATAATGCCATAATCTATCCCTGCGTATTTTATCTTTAGTGCATTTTTTAGGTTGACTATAATAAACATAGTGAGTGTCTATACCTATTTAATGCTGTTAAAATATACTTGTTTCAAATCAAATCCTAAATTAGCTTAATTCGTTATTAATAATCGTTTGTTCCTGGCAACACTTCTGGTTGTTTATTAATGATAATCGACGATATACAGCTCTATATGTTTGCGCGAGAACACCAACAGCAGCCTGTGATACAAGGGAAGGGCCCCTGGCAGGGAACGTCGCCAAATGTATAGATAGCATCATATAGCGTATGTATGCATGCATATAAATATATAGACAGACGGGGATCTTAATGTGCGGCTTTTCTTAATGGGTTTCGATCATCAACACAAATGTACCACCAGGCCCAAACGAAAGTCTTAAGCGCAAAGGTCATTTAGTGCGGGACCCTTCGTCTATTTATTAGCGTCGAGTCATTTGTAGATGTTTCCTATAGAGTGGGGGAAGGCAGCCCCATTGATTCCAAAAGGGTCTGGCTGCAGCTGGCGCTTGCACTCTCAGACGTGCATTCTCAGGCTTGCACTCTCAGACACTTGCACTTCCGCTAGCGACGTCACTTGCAGTCTTTATTATTTTTTATTTTGTTCTATTTATTGATTACTTTTTGTTTGAATCTCTCAACATTTTACAACAGTAGCCAGGTGGTGAAGACAAGAAAAAGACTGCAAGTGACGTCGCTAGCGGAAGCGCAAGTGTCTGAGAGTGCAAGCCTGAGAATGCAAGTCTGAGAGTGCAAGCGCCAGCTGCAGCTAGACCCTTCTCATTGATTCAGAGGTTTGGAATTTGCATCTGATTGCTGTTTGTCAACCAATGGTTTGACTCGCCGACCGCGGCACCGCCTCAGATTAGACGCACATATGATGTTCCTGCCAAATTAACCTCTATATCGAAATCAAATGAGGAAGAGAGACGCGCATTAGACAGAGCACGAGCCATACTGTTTCTATAGGCTCTCGTGCGTTCGTGACTGTGATCAAATATTGACTGAGAGAGCGTCGCGAGCGGCTTGTTTTTACGGGGAAATCAGGAATGTTCCTTCCGCTTCCCAAGAAAAAAACTAAACGGAAGTTAAACTGGTAAGTGAAGTGTGTCTTTTTTCCCCTCTCAGCCCAATGTTACATTCACATTTTCCTGTTTGTGTTGACTGTATGGGAAGTACATTACGTCTCTGGCGTATAATCTGGTTTCTTGAGTTTTAATGACTGTTTTTGGTTGTTTAAAGCTGATCATCTGATGATGTGTTTGTCTGGCAGTAGTTTTGGTGTCAGTGTATTTTACAGCCATCAGAATAAACACTCGACACAAACACATACAGTAACTGCCTTCAGGCACGCGATGTGTATATGCAAATAAGTGTCGCTTAAATCCCCGGGGTGTTTCTTTATGTATTTGTTTATTTATTTATTTTCCTATTTTAACTTCTTGATGTAGTTTTAATAAGGTAAGTAATATTTTAATGACCTTTTTTGTATCTAGGTCGATTATCTGTGATCTTGTGGATGTGGAAGTAGTGTATTGATTTTATTTTATCGTATGCATTTTTACTTTTTGCATGAAATTAGCCTTTTTAAGTGTCATATAACTAATATGCAGAACAATACTTTGCTGCTGACTTAATAATTACTAAAAAAAAAAATATTAGTCATTAGACTACAGCAATTAGAAACCACAATATTAATTGTGAATAATTTATTAATGATAATAATAAATAGTAACAATATTATAATATATTATAATTTGTAAAAATATAATATAATCAATGCCATTCTATTTATGTGAAGTAGTTTACAGTTTAAATGTGTGCAAATGTTCTTCCTTATTTTAGGTTATCTAACTGTTAAATTTAAAATGTTGCAATTTGCAAAGTTTTCTTTGAAGTCTTTAATTTTGCAATAACAATAAATATTAGAAGACACAGTGGTATAATGGTGTTGTTGTGTAGGCTAATATTATTTTAATCTGGTGCCTTTTATTGATAGAACTGATGAATAATCAACAATAGGGAAGTGTGAATCTTATTTTTGACGTAATTGTGGTTGTCGCTTTGTGTGATTGTATGGCTGATTGTGTGAAAATGTTGATTGTGTTAGTACTGATGTCATGTTGTTTTTTGTTTATTCTTGATATTTTAAAGGGTTCTGAAACCTCTTGCCAAAGGACTGCAGTGTTAGCCAACTGGCTAACACAGAAATGTTGATTAATGTGTGTTGTCCTTATAAATTATATATATAGAGAGAGAGAGAGAGAATAGGTAAGTGCTAGTATTAGTTCATCAGGTGCTGGGGAAAAGATGTGTCTTTAGACGTTAGTACTGATGTCATGTTGTTTTTTGTTTATTCTTGATATTTTAAAGGGTTCTGAAACCTCTTGCCAAAGGACTGCAGTGTTAGCCAACTGGCTAACACAGAAATGTTGATTAATGTGTGTTGTCCTTATAAATTATATATATAGAGAGAGAGAGAGAGAATAGGTAAGTGCTAGTATTAGTTCATCAGGTGCTGGGGAAAAGATGTGTCTTTTTTTGAAAATGGCCAAAGACTCCGCTGTCCGAATTGAGATCGGGAGGTCATTCCACCAGCTGGGCACTGTCCAGGAAAAGGTCCGTGATAGAGATTTTGTGCCTCTTTGGGATGGCACCACAAGGTGTCGTTCACTTGCAGAACGCGATATATATATATATATATATATAATATTAGGGGTGTAACGGTACACAAATATGACGGTTCGGTACGTAGCCAAAATCATCACAATTAAAAGAACCAAAGACTTAAACTACTTCAGTCTGTGTGCATTGAATTTATTTAACACACGAGTTTCACAATTTGAGTTGAATTACTGAAATGAACTTTTCCACGACATTCTAATTTATTGAGATGCACCTGTATGTATGTTTGTGTGTGTGTGTGTGTGTGTGTGTGTAATTGTATATAATGGATAATATCTATCTATTTAGCCTATAAGAGTCCACCTTTCATAATGCGAGATATAAATTGTACCTGAATTGTGCATTATCTCAATATGCATTCATATATGGATTTATCTCTCCCAAAGAGTTGTGTTGGAAATATGGGTTAAGACTGATTTGATTTCATTCTCTCCATTCTTAATGACCTGTTTAAATTAGCACAGAGCAGATACTCTCCAGCCTTAATTAGATTTCTGTTCCACATAAACAGAAAAGCACATTTGTTTGCATAGACTACACATAGCTTTATCACACACTGTACTGAAACACTACACTACACGTGCACGGTACGATTTGTATCCGAGTGAACCGGATTGTTTTGATAAGGTTTGTAACTTTTAAGAACTCAAAGGTAAAATGTTTAAGTTTTTTGTAAATTGAATATATTTTAATGGAGAACTCTGTAATAATAATAATGTTTACTTTTATATCAAGGCCTATAATGAATCTTGGACGAGACAAGATTTCCTTAAAGGTGGGGTAAGTGATTTTTGGTAGCCAATGTTAATATTTCAAATCACCAAAACAAACATGCCCCTGTCCCAAAAGGGTATCGCCTAGGGCTGCACGATAAATCGCATGCGATATTTAACCAAAAGTGTCTCGCCCCTATTTTGATAGCTCCACCCCACACATACGTACGCAACCCAGGCAACGATTAATTCTGTGAAACAAAGCAAATCCAATGTTACACCGTGTCTACACTGGACACGAGCGGCGCGACAAAATACTATAAAACGAACTCATTATAATCAGTGATGCTGTGTACACTGGGTGCGGCGCGACGTGACAGATCCCCGACAGAAAACTGCTGCTGCGTTCTATTTACGTTTTAATGACGTATTGACATAAATTTCAAATGATTTTCAGCGTCCTTATCGCCTTGTCGCGTCCAGTGTAGACAGACTTTAGCTGTTGTGGCGTGACAACTGTCGAATCTGGTGAACATTAGACACGCTATTACTCACCTATCGAGAAGAAACAAAGCAACCTCTGTGTCCGATCGCAGGCCTTACGCTCCTTGAGTTCTCTCCAGCGCTGGAAAGCTGATCCGATATTTACACGGGTCCTACTTCTTGCCTTATCGTAAGTCTTCTTTTGTTCTGCAGATGTTTTCCTCTCTTGTTTTTAACCGCCATCTCTATCTTTCTGTCGTCACTCGGCTAATGTCCGTCCCGTGCACTGAGCGCTCTCTCCTCCACATCATGAGTAGACACGCCTCAATATCTAAAACTCAGTAAGAGCTTTTGTATGAAAGAAATAAAGTCAGACTGGTTTGTAATTAGTGAAGATGCTGAGATCTAGAGAGATCTGTTAGTGTTTAATGTTCTGTTGGGGTATAAAGGGTTTCTGTTGTCTGAGTTTTGTGGGTCACCATTGTGCAGAAGAGCAGAGTTTGTGCTTTAGTCCAAGAAAAGAACAAGAAACTGATGCTTTATTTAAAGGGGTCATATGATGCGATTTCAAGTTTTCCTTTCTCTTTGGAGTGTTACAAGCTGTTCATGACTAGATAAGATCCCTAAAGTTGCAAAAACTAAAGTCTCAAACCTAAAGAGATATTCTTTATAAAAGTTGTATAAAAGACTCGTCCACGCCCTCCTAAAACGGCTCGTTCTAACAC